TTGCAATGATATGTTACCAGCAACAATTTGGAGCAAATATAACTCAGTCTTTCAAGCTACCTTTGTAAGAGTGCATTTTTGTAAGCCATCAGGCTGTTATAAAATTGCTGGGAAAATAGTGGTGGCTTTTTTTCCTTTTCCAGTTAACTAATAGAAAACTTAAAATGTTGATAATATTAGTACATTATTCATGTTGTAGTCATTTATAGTGAAAAAATATGGATAATCATGTGATTATTCTGTAAATTATGGTCATTGTTACAAAATAAACTTATATTAAATGCCAAATATCATTTATTTAATGTATTTCCCAATCTGTTTTTTTCTCATCATCCCCGTTGAGTTTGTTCAGTGCCCTTGCAATAATGATATATTAGGTGTCTTCTGCATAAGATTTGTAGGCACTGACTAAAAATGCAAACGTTTTCAGATAGAGCATTGCATAACTTTAATAATTTGCTGCATCATCAGTTTATTCTTAATGTTACCAAATTGTATATATATATATATGTTAGAAATATTAATACAGTACAAAGTCCAAAATCTGGACTGGTCGGAACTTTGGCAATTCCGTATTTGGGATTTTTCCGGATAATAGATCATCAATTTAAATCTGGTAATATGGCATGCAGAAATTATACAATTAAACATATGTAATCGTAATTTATGAAATAAAGAACAATTATGATCTAAAGGGTATCAAAATATACAAAAAAAAAAAGCTTAATATTTATTTGTTTACTTTATTAAACATTTCTTTCAGTGTAAGTTGTTTAAGATGCTTCCACAAAAAATTCAAAAGTTCCTTTTTCTTTTTTCTTGTGTCATATACAGTGGACTTTCCAATGCCGTACGCCTTGCATAATTTTGAGACTTGTGTGCCTTTATCCATTTTTTGCAGCAATTCCATGTTTTGTTTAATGGACATCGAATCATGGTTTCACTTTGTAGATCCTTTGGCAACTCCAGAATTGGAAATTGTTTTCGACATAAACGAAAGTTCAAGTTTAGTTTTTAAAAAATTGCTGTAGTAATAACAGTCTGCAAAACATAATAAGTTGGATCAAATTAGATCACGGAGCGGCGCAGTGTGCTACATTAATTGAAATGCCTTAGAATCAGTAAAGATAATTTTACTAGCTTAATAGCATCCATTATACATTATTGGCTGTGTATCACAAGATTGGCAACAGTCTCGTATTGCGTACTGAATTAAGCCTGAATTGTATTATTTTAGTTATTTACTATAACTACATTTATTTCATGTACATGCTTCAAACTAATCTGAGTTCTGAATAAATAAACTCCCATATTTACTTAAGGCTTTATCTAGGGCTGGCGCTAGATACTGCCGGGTGCAGGGTCTCTAAATTCTGCTACAAAGGGCCTTCCTAAGTTCTAAATTTTTGCCGTGCCTAAAGTTTGGATCCCAGTGCTTTCCCCCCTAAATCATAAAAACTTCTCATCCCTTAATTTTGCCGCTCGGTGCTTGGCCAATTCACCAAAAATTTAAAAATTCCAAAAATTTAATCTTCCCTAAATTCTGCCTTTCAGTGCCGACCATATTCTGCCACCGCTTCTGGGTTTATTTAAATTTTCCCTATGGTGAATGCTTTCCCTAAATCATATCATCCCTTAATTTGTTATTCTTAATCTTCCCTATTCTGCTTTCATGCCGAATTTCTGCCACCGCTTCTGGGTTTATGGTGAATTAAATATCAGTTATTCTTAAATAAAAAGCACTAAATGTAATATTTTTGCCTATGAGTTTATTTAACAAAATCTAGTTTTAGCGTATGAAAAGAAATTTTTGGTGAATTTTCTCTCGTCAACATTTCTTAAAGCATTTAAAAATCTATAATCATCGCCAAGTGTAATATTAGCATAAAAGGTTGCCGTACTCTTGTTATTCAATTACTAATATAAAAAAAGGTTTAAACATCACAGCATGAGTTATTACTGAAGCTGTCATGTATTGATAAACATGTGGTGATGAAAGCAAAATATAATAAATAATGACTCGCCAGATCAGCATCAGGGATATAAAATAGGTGAATTATTTGGTTTGAGATGTATACCAAGTAGATACTCAGCTACGGAACCAAATTATTAATCACAATTTTATACTTACATGACTGTTTTTCCATAATGAAGTATTTTATTTAATGCCTAAGTGAAATTAAGAATCAGAATTTTTAAGGAAAAATCTCCACATGTTTTATATTGGAAGGAAAAATAAAATGTGCATGCATAAAGCATTAATTAAAAAAAAGTGTTTGTGGCTTTGAGGTCCGGATTTTAGATCATTCCGGATTTCGGACTTTGTACTGTAATGATATTTTTTATGCTGTCAACTATTATGGACATAAAATTTCGTACGAAAGGATGTGTGGCCTTAATAACACAAAAATTTCTGCCAGCTTTTAATGTATCCGATTTGGGGTTAGAATATATTGAAAGAAAATAATCAAGATACAAAGTGAAAGGGTCATTTTTATAATTATAATTGTGATTTTTTTATTAAATCAAAAGACCATTTTTAATACAGCTTCTCAACCACTGTACAATTCTGACACAAATGCAATTCTAAGCAAAATGACTATTATTGCAAAAGTATGTAACTGAGGATAGCTGTCTTTTGATAAATCATAAAATCATAAAATAACCAAATCTGCCCCTTAAAATTTTTGAACAAGATTTATATCATATTGTAAACTACTTAGCCTATTTTTAGTTTTTCTAGTGTGTTATTCACCTTCATTTTTGAAGACAATGAATATAGTATAAAATTAAATCCCAAATCTTTAAAATTCTTGAAATCTTTCTTAAAATTCTTTCCTTTAATATGCTATTTTTCTTGTATATTTTTTAGATTTTCGTTTAAAATATAATAGGGCAGGATTTAAGATGTAAAGAACTGCATGATTTTTTTTCCTACTTGTTTGGGTTTCTCATTATTACAATTTAATACCAAAAGCTTCAATACAAGCATATGTGCTAGGGATAGTTTATTCTTCCCATGTACCTCTTTTCTGATAACGTTTAATTTAACAAGAAATACTAAATATGTTCTTTTTCCATGTATCATTATGTAGTTTATTGACGGTTTTATTTCTGCCCCTATGATGAAAATTTTGAATTTGGTTATTAAATCCAAAAACATTTTAATACACTTCTTTGACTTATTAACTTCATTACGATAAAACATTTCTCCATAGCAACTTTCAATTTCTTCAAGCACTGCAACAATTTTTTAATTATTCAGAGCTCATCTGTAGTTAATGTTTACTGTAGTAACTGTTTCTATAGCATAGTCCATTTTCAGATTTTTAATGCAGTGTATAATGTAAAGAATAATGTACTCTATAGTGGGAAATTTATTCTGAAATATCTGTTCTTTAACTGTACATCTTAATGTCATTGCTATTGAATTTTTTGCAACCCTAGCAGCTGCACCATGACTTGCTAATCAAATCATTTTATTCTATTTTATAGTTATCTATTGCAGTTTTTATTTCGGAAAACATTTTCTGTGCTCCAGTTTTTCCTTTCATATGAATTCCTGTTACTTAAAATCATCAGTAATATCTTTCTTGGAAACAGCAATTTGTAATATATCTAAGATGAAAGCTCTCACCAGCTGCTATTCAGAATGCTTCAAAGGCTGTACTTTTTCTTTGTAACTGACATCATAAATCAGTAATGTCATGAATATGTTCTGCTATCATGTTGGGTGATAAAATATTTTTTTTAAATTAAATTAAATTATTGTTTTTTTTAATTAAATTTGATTTTAAATTAAATTATTTAAAGTAATTGTTTGTGCAGATAAAGAAATTCAGTAGACTTACTGAGGAATTTCCCATCAGGTAAAGGTTTTCATATTTTTTTCAATGATGTGCACAAGAGCAAAACTTTGGTGAACTGTTGCTGCACTGGATTTATTTGATTCAGTAAAGAAATTTAGTTGTCACTTTGAACCAGATTTTAGAAATTCTAACTTTTTCTTCTCTCAGTTTGCCTTCCAATACTACAGTTTTCTTTGCACTTCTTTTCGTAATGACGATGTAAATTGCATTCTTTTTAACTGATATTTCCATTGTACAAAGTTCAGTTTGTTAAAGATGTAGCTTGCAATTTAATTAATTGATTAATATTTAATCTCTTCCTCACTGTTATAATTTTATTTGTAACTTTAATTCAATGAGATGGATTTTTGTACAAGGCATTAAGCAACATGAAATCTACATTTAAGAATTATCCACAAATATAAATGATAAGTACTGATATAATGTAGATCTAACAAGTACAGGTAAGCAAGTTTTATCAGCTATATATTGGTTTGTCTAGCAATATGAACTGTTCAACTGTACATCCAGTTAACCAGCTTATGACTGACACAGGGAAAGTAAATATCAAATGTATGAACTCATTGGAAAAAACAAAAGCATATTACTAAAGTATCTCATCCAGTCTCAGGTCTTGGTGTACAAGCTTACCGTGACAAAGCCCGAACCTGTTCATTATATCTTTTTCTTTCAGTAGCAGTACTGCACGTAAGCTCACTCATATCCAAATGTCTCTAAAACTAGGAGTACTATATTAACAGTAAACACATAATTAAAGTGCATTTACAGTCCATGTAAAAATTGCATCAGGGCTGGATGTAGCCTGCAGGTTGCTAGTTTGAGATCACCGGGTTAATGTACAGTATGCTTTCGTGATTTGAATGCAAAATTCTTGATTCCATGGGGAAGGAGAACAAAATAAAATTCAGTTTCTGTGTTTATTAATCTGTTATAGCTCCAGTGGTTAAATTTTTGTTGAGAGCCATTTGCAATGAGAAGTATACATGTAGGATTCACGTTTAAATAAATGAAACCTATAGCCTTCTTTTTTTTTTTTTTTTTTTTTTTTTTTTTTAAGGTACACTGTATTAAGGTTTTATTTTGTTCATAGTTTGTGCATAGAGTGATTTTTATCTCAGAATTTCATTTTAGGTGGTCCATTAACCACAGCTCAGAGCTATCCTAGTCTAACTACTACTACTACTACTGCTGCCTTACCAGGAAGTCAGTCTGCCACTGGTGGTGCAACAAGTACTTTTGGTCAGTCATTGACAGTCAGTCTTACATCTACCTCTAGTGAAAGTGAGCAAGATTTTCTAGATAGTTGTCGTGCCACTACTCTTCTAGTTGATTTGGAAGATGATGAAGAATTACCTGATCCTGAAGATGATGAAAATGAAGATGATGAAGAAAATGAAGATGACAATGGCTTTGAAGACATAACTGTAAAACTCAATTTTTCTTGCTGTTCAAGTTGCTTGCTTTATATTTGTATTTGGAAATATACTTTTCTTCAGTAATTACTGTAATTTAATTGCTTCTGTTTTCCCCCCCTTTTTTTGTTTGTTTTGTTTTGTTTTGTTCAAACCAGGATGATGAAGTTGAAACTGAAAATGGTAAACCCAGAAGTTGGGATGATGAATTTGTTCTAAAGCGGCAGTTTTCTGCTCTCATTCCTGCATTTGATCCTCGACCTGGAAGGACTAATGTAAATCAGATCTCAGACTTGGATATTCCTGCTCCAGGTAAAACTTAATTCTAAACCTGTTTCCGAATATTGTGTAAATATTTTTCAAGTGCACTTAGTAATGAGGTTTCAATGTATTCTGTTTATTGAGATAGTTTATGATTTTTGATGTCAAAATCCATGTCAATAATTCATATTTCAGGAAAGGAGCAGCTGAAAGATTTGCATTGTGTAATAGTAAAAGAGAGAGTTAAATTTGTGTGCCATTGCATAATGAGCAGATATTTAGCTCAAGGTTTGTCCAAATGGAGTACATTTGCACTTCAAAGTTATATTTTCAAAACTGAGTTTAGATTTTTCTAGAATTTAATAATGAAACAATTTTTTTTTTTTTTTTTTTTTTTTTTTTTTTTTTTTTTTTGGCACAGTCTTATGTTCAGTGATAAAACTAATAATCACAGAAGTTCTTTGATCATCAAACACCAAGCTTTCACCATGTTCTAAAATATGAATGTCCCAAAAGTGTTAATAACAATTTTAACTTATGTAAGTATTCATAATATTTTAAGCATAGGAATTTCCTGTTTTTTATGACTTTGCTCAGAGATCTTATTTCCTGGATTATAACACATTATTTTCTTTCTTCTGTAAAGATTTCTTATTTTTTAGTTCTTATTCATATTTTTTTATTACCTCATATTATCCTGTGGCTGTAAAAAATTGCAAAAAACTCTAAACTTGGCAATTTGTCAGTGTATTTCTCTTCTCAACATTTTAACGGTTAACTTTCTTAGTTTTTTTTAACGATGCAAACTTTATTTCTTTCCTTGGATATATTTTATATTTTGTGTTCATTTCTTTGAATTAATCTCTTTTATCCCTTGTTTTACAGTTTACTTCAGTTTAGTATATGTGCCATTAAAACTTAGCATTTTAATCACATTTAGTTTCTTCCGGTTCAGAATTTGGCTTGCTAATTTTTAGCCATTATATATATGTGTGTGTGTGTGTGTGTGTGTGTCTCAGCATTTTATTTTAAACCTCCGAGTATTACAGGTTTAGTCCTGAAATTTTGAAGTTCCTCAAAATTTCGTGAATATATGCTATTTTCTTAATGGTAATTGAAAAACGATTCTCTCACTTTGTACCTTGATTCCTTTTCTTCTAATATGTATCCAGCTCAAAATTGGATACTTCAATAACTGACTGAAATTTTCATGTGTAATGAACATGAAAGCCACCCTTCTGTATGGAATTTTCCTTCTATAATGCTGCAAGGGCTAAGCTTTCTTAATTTTATCATTATATGCATATCATTACTATTATTATTATTATAAAGGGAAACTTTTATGTCTAGTTTTTGTTTGTGTTTTATTAGAATCATTTTTTCCTTTGCCATATTTTTTACCTGTTTAATGTGAACACCATTAACCCTCTTCATATGGCCCCCTTGATTTCCATGGGATATGGATCCTGCCTTTCACTGTGTAGGCTGAGAATATTGTAATATTCATTTTTCACATTCCGTTTTGCACCTAGATGGCGCTACATGTTTATATCATTCTAAGGCTATACTATTGTTTCTTCATAGCCAAACAGGATCGACACTATTGCTTCTTTCATTGTGGAATGATAAGAAAATAATAAATATGCTTAGTTCATGATGTGTCATCTATATCAGTTTATCCAGGCATGGCAAAAGAAGAACTAAAGCCAAAAGTGATTTATGATTGTAACTTTACAATGAGGTGTGTCGACAAATGCGAATCAGGAGATGTACTACCCTAGTACTCGAAAAAGTGTTCCCATATATTGAATGAAGCAATGTTGAATTTGTATATAATATACAGAAAAATAGAAAATGTGAAAAAATCTCATCTTGATTTCAAGCTAGTTGTGATCGAGGAAATCTTCGACAAATACTCTTCTGGAATTTTATTCGCCTTGTTGGGAGGCATTTTGCAAGCCACTACCACCAAATTCTATAAAAAAGGAACCTAGAAGGCAGTGCGCTGTGTGTTGCTCTCTGAAAAAGACAACAATGGGAAAAAATACGTAAAGAGACTCTCATTTGGTGTGAAAAATGCAGAATTTGTTTATGTTTAGAGCCATGTTTCAAAGTTTACCACACTAAAAAAATTGTGTAATAATAAGTGAGTATAAGTAATATTATTAGCTGTACAAATTAGTTAGAATGTACATTTATCAAAATCAAAAAGTTCCTGTGTATTTTTATATTTTTTTATTCTATGCACGCTAAAATTTTGTTAGCCGTGTTATAATGTTTATGTTTCAAAGTTTTACCACACTAAAAAAACATGTGTATAATAAATAATAAGTTACTATAAGTAATATTAGCTGTACAAATTAGCATGTATATTTATCGAAATCAAAAAGATCCTCTGTATTTTTATGTTTTTATTCCATGCACGCTAAAATCATGTGAGCCATATTGTATGTTTTTTAAAAATTAAAAAAACTATTAAAATGCCTTCATTATACTAATTTTGTTTATAAAGATGTGAATAGTAATATATAAAGAAAATATAAAAAAACTGTCCTGTTTTTCAGGACTGGAACATATCAATATCAAGCCATAGGGGGAGGTTTAACGTGAATAATGTTAATTAACATAAAGCTATTAACTAAAATTTGGTGTGTTCGTGTATAAGGAAAAGGTAACAAAATTCTGATATAGTATAAAACTACAGAAATTGAACCATGATTTGCAGTGTATCCAGAATAGATTTAAGCTGGTGAAAAGTTTGCTACATTTATGTTATTGTGAGAAAGAGCTCCAAGAGACTGCTAGTAGCAAAGGAAAGAAAAGAAAAAGAAAACCAGATGTTTATTTAATATGCTTCAGGACACCAAACAATATGGAATCAGTGTGCATGATTTCAGTCTGAAATGCTATCTATGCATTAAATCTCTACAGCTGGATATATTGTTCTCATGGGCATCCCAAATGTGATTCAGGATATTTAAACATAAATTTTATATTGTCATATTGGTGAAAACAGCAAAACATCTTTATGTTTGTGAATTGTGTAGACATTTTAATAGATTTCGAACTGGTGATCGGATATTTAACCCTGACCAATCAAGCTTTAGTAAAAAATTCTGTGAAATTATGCTTTTGATTATTTAGGATATTAACAATTTGAAAACACTGTAAAATGTGTCATTTCTGTAACACACTTTTATGCAATTATGCCCACTGTCAATAAATGTGGTAAATTATTACCTTCTGCGTTCATTGTATTTCCTGAACAGACACATTGACGCTACTGTGCTGAAAAGAATGCTTCAGCTAGATATTATGTATACAATTGCATCAAGAAAAATGAATAAACAAGAATCACAAACATGGCAAAAGTGTGCTTTAAAAAACTCCAGTGCTACTGCTTGTTGCTTGTCTTTCTCATGAAGATTTGATCGACTAGGGAGGAAAAAAACTTGGGAAAATCTTCCAATCTACACCTTTGATGTCTTCCATTCTCAATGCTATCCACAAATTTATGCATAAAATTCAACCTGTTAACAGCATATATTTTGAATTGGGAATTTCATTTAGAAATTTTCCAATATTGAAATAGTAGAGCTACTCTCTTGTGATTTGTTTTAGTGTAGCTGTCACATAAAATGAAAAACTGTTATACACAGTGTATTATCATTGTGCTCCTGGTATGCATACTCTTATGAAATGTACAAGAAGATCAATTTGAAACCCTGTTGAGTTTTTCATAAAACGTATGCATTTTATCTATACTTAACATAATTATCTTCGTGTAAAATGTGTACTATTTATGTCATGACTGTAAAATGAGATATTTTAGAGTATGTGCCTCCGCCGAAAGCCTAGAACAGGAAGTGGTGACCCTTCGGGGGCTGGTCAAGTAGGTGGGGGTTTTTGGAGTTGTTTCGTATGTGGCTAAGAGCCGGTGTAAGGTGCAGTTCTCCAGGCATTAGCGATTTCTTTCATAATCGTAAGTTGAATTTATACAATGGGCTGTGGCTAAGTTTTGGAGTTTGTAGCCCGATACTCCAGCCCAAAGAGAGTTCGTTGTGACTCACCTATCTGTGACCTATCCCTTGCCTACTATGGGGGTGTTTTAGAAGGGAGAAGATCACCTTCAGTTGGGATAAATGTTTTGCAGCAGAGGTTTTAAGAAGTTAATTGATTGATTATGTATTTCTAGAGGAGCGGATTTGATGTGTACTTTTTTCACGAAAATTTGAATTCATTACGATCGTGTACCAAACTTGAAACTACTTTGTGAAATTTTTAATGCTTTATCTAATATGGAATAACCCCTCTTTTGTGGAGATTGATTTTTTGCTTGTCTGAAATAAAATGTGTGTGTTGTTTTATATAATATACTATATCAGTTATTATATATTACTGCAAATGTTTGCATTAAATAATGCTGTTGCTTATGTTTTAATAGAATATATCGATTTTTTTTCTTATATATTCAAATTTCTGTAATTGAGAACAAAAATCTAAATAAAGACTAATGAAATTTATTTACAAACTGAAATATAAAGTTTTTTTTATTTTATTTTTATTTATCTGCTGTAAAGTGAATGAAAATCATTTATTTTCCAATGCTGTCAATTATATATTTATTTGCATTAACCAAAATGTTTTTCTGATATTTTAATTAAAAATTTGTTTTTATTTTCTCAATCACCATAAATGAAAGTAAATATTACCATGAATGTATTATTTGTATTACCTGCTATTTGTTAAGTAAAAGTTACAAAGCATTGATAGTTCATTGCATGCTGCATTCCTAACAATTCAACCAGCAAACCTCTTTGTAATTAAAATGTTTTCTTCATGTACAATGTAAATACAAATGAGTTTCAGTAGAAAATCCATTATATAGCTCTGATAGCCAGAAAGCTATAATGTGCTTTATCATAATTAAACGATCTAGTCTGATCTTGTTATTGCTTAGTAATTTGAAGCATCACCCAAGTTTTTCTTAATGGATGGTCCTTTAATATGTAGCTCAAAATGAAACCAGAGAGACTGTTACAGCAATATGTTTGGCTGTAGCTTATCACAGATTTGCAATTAAAAGATTGCTTCATCTAAATCAGATTTAAAGTATGTGTCGTTCTGTATGAATATTTTGTAAAACTGAGCCAGATAGCTATAATGTGCTTCATCATAATTAAATAATCTAGCCTGCTGTTGTTATTGCTTAGTAATTTGAAGTATGACTTAAATGTTCAAATTTTTTTAATGGGTATTCCTTTAATATGTAGTTTAAAATCAAACCAGAGGTATTGTTACAGCAATATATTTGACTGTAGCTTATCATGGATCTAGAATTAAAAGATTGCTGCATCTAAATCAAATTTTGAAGTATGAGTTGTTCTGTATGAATATTTTGCAAAACTGAAACACTACATTCATTTATTAGATAAACAGGTTTCTTGAATTTATAACTGATGCTATTATTGGTCATTAAGTGTCAAAACACTTTTTTGTTGAAAAGTGATTTCGTTTATGATAATTATCATTTGAAGTAAATCTTAATGTGGAGAGCATGAGTCGCATCATCTGACGTGCTCAACATTTAACTCTAGAGGGTGGTAAACATAATGATTTGCAAAAAGCCTAGCTAGCTAGCTTTTCATAAATATGAAAGGCATACTTTTGGAATAGATGACCTAGAAGTGAGAGTGTACATACAATGGAAAAAGGAAAACAGAAAGCAGTCCCTTAGTCAAATATATTATTTATTTTAATGCATAACACTTAAATGAATATCCAGAAATTGATACAAGAAAATTCGTTCTTTAAATGTAAGAAAAAGAAATAGTTCTTAGCTGTGCTTTTCAACAAAATTCCACTCATAGTTTGTATTTTGAAAGTAATTTTAATGGTAGTGGTTTTATGTTCTGTTAGCTTCTGTGGTTGCAAATAGCTTCACTGGCTTCTTGTTCACAAGTTTTTCTGTTTTATATTTAGTAATTTTCTGCCATTTTACAGATACATTTTGCAGCTCTCTTATATTTGAAATAGATCTATTGGATAATTTTTTTGTTTACATGACAAATGTTAATTTAGGTTGAGATCTGGAGACTGCAGTGGTGTTCATTGCTGAATTTTAACATTATTGTTAATTATATAAAAGCCGTTCCTGTACAAGACCTAATGTATGCTTCGGTTCATTATTTTGTGAGAATATGTAAATTTGAGGATAAGCCTAGATCTGTCACACATCTTTGAAAACTTGTCTTCAGTGTATTCAGATATCCATTGTTGTGCTTATATAGCATAATTTTCCAACACCATTGACATCTGTGCATCCCCAAACCAAGACAGAACTCCCTCCATGTTTTATAAGGAACATCATATTTCTCATATTGATTTCTTTATTCCTCCATGCTTATTCCACCAACCTTAAAATTGCACTCATCAATAACATCATTCTACTCCAAAACTCGAGGTCTTGATGAGTTTCTTAATAATGTGTTTTGGAAATTTTAAAGTTTTTGCCGGGCTAAAATGTTTTCATTAGAATTCTGAAATAAAATCCTCTTCCTGAGACGCAAACAGTTTTATGATGTACTTTAATTCCCATTGTCTCTTGAAGTTCAGTTTTGCATTTATTCTGAGGATCTGGATAACTTTTCTTATGAGGAGCCTCTTTTCTTGGTCATTAAGTTTGGCAGTCTTCTGTTTTGTAGCCTGCTTTCAAGAGTACCAGTCTTCTATAAATATCTTACTATAATTTCTCGCATGAAACCTACTCCTCTAAATGGTATAAATGAAGATGCAAGCCTTTTGTGTTTGCAGATTACTTCACTTCAGTAGGCCGTATGTGGATTTTTGTTTAAGGGCACAAGAACGTAATCTGAAAGTTTTTTTTAGATTTTTAAAATGTAAAATTAGGTTTCTGCTAATCTTTGCTTGTATTGTAAAAAACTTTATCATATAAATGTGTCTAAAAAGATAGCTGATTTTTATTTCCCCCCTTTTTTAGTTATTTATTTTTTTAATTGTATGTACACTTTTGCATTTTAATGTTTGCTGTTATTTAATGAAACTAATGTTTCTTCAATATAAAAATAATGGGAGTGGTAATTGTAGGATATTATATAATCAGGAGATGACATTAGATGATTTAGCAAAATTTAACATCAAATTAAATTGTATTTTATGTAAATATTAAAATTTACTGCTAACATAATTATTACCTATCACCGTATAGCATTTGCTGTATAAATATTGCATTTTGCAGTATTTTTGCTTCTGTATCAGAATAAAGTGTTATAACTTTTTATTCCCTTCTGTGTCAGTTTCTTATTTGAGTTTTTTAACCCTCTTTTAGGGTCTGATATCTCAGGGACAGATGATATCCAGGTATCTCCAAATCAGCCAAAACTATCCTTACAGCTTAAGGGACCAAATATTCCTGGTGTAAGTGGTAGAAAATTTTATTAATTAATTAAATTCCTTTTGAAGCAGTATTTTATCCTGTCGACCAATTCCACTCAGCAGTGGCTGTTCTTTTGTATTTCATTTCATTTTCACCTAGTGGGTAGTTTCAGCTATAGTTCAAAGTGTTATTTCGGTCACTGTTGACAGATCGTAATGTAGGCAGACGGTATACCTGACTGGGCTCTACTGGAAGTGATAAAACCAGATCAGCTCATTTCATTTATAACAACTTTAGAAGTGTTACTTTTTGTAATAAATCATAAAATGCTATGTGTTTTAATTAAATGCTGTTGCCAATGTCTGATGTTTAAGGTCTGTAATATGTCTTGAATGTTTTAAAAGTACATTACTGTGTATCATAAAATTTGTTATGTAAAAAGTCATTTTGAGTATGCTCATGACATAGTTAACACAATTTTTTCATTGCTGTAAATTTATTTGCATTTTGCAGAGGTTTTTCAATATGGTGTTAGAATTCTACTTAGTAATGAGTTTTTTTTAGACACATGTCAATAACATCAACACTATTTACAGCATCCTCAGTTTTCTAAAACCACCTATTGGCAGAAACTCTCAATTACTTCATAAAGAAAACTGCATATTTATGAGCAGTTAGCCAACCAATATATTCAGATTCTTCACGTGTATGGAACACGGTGTGCAATAGGAACCTGCATAAATAGTAATTCTTATAAACTCAAATTCTCATCCTTAAAAATACTCTATTACAAATGCTCCCTATTTCATGCATATTTATGAGCATTATTATTTCCTGCATATTATAACTGCATATTTATGAGCAGTTAGCCAACCAATATATTCAGATTCTTCACGTGTATGGAACACAGTGTGCAATAGGAACCTGCATAAATAGTAATTCTTATAAACTCAAATTCTCATCCTTAAAAATACTCTATTACAAATGCTCCCTATTTCATGCATAACAAGAACCTCCTTGAGGATCTTGATATTGATAATCAAGAACTAACTTCAACAAAATGACAACTTCTACTATAAAGCAGTTGACTGTGAAAGAATATCCTATGAAACACAGCTATGAAATTCTTGAGGAAAATTTCAACCTGAACCATATGACACTCACCTAACCATTAAAGTAACCTATCATCTTTGGTGACTTTACTTATTTTGTTATATTTGCTTATGGGCAACATCACAGTTAGCTGAGTGGTCAATATGCTGAATTTTAAAGTGGGAAATCACGAGCTCGGATCTCGCTTGTAAACTTTTCAATTCAGTCTGTTTAGCCTGAATTTATCATCGTCATTTGGTTTTTAGCCCAAAGGGGCATTAGACCAAAAGGGTTATTAGTCTCAAAACGGCATTTTGCGTCATTTCACTTTCCGCCGTGGTTCACTTTTCAAACTGTAACCACCAAATATTATTGTGTATTATATTTAAAGATACTAAATAATAAAGAATCTGCATGAATGTTTCTCGCATTGTGAAAAAACAACGGTATCTAGAGCCATCAAACTTTGAATAACATAGTCCCCCCAACCGAACATGGGCACTTGGAAACCCAAATTTTTAATTTCAAATTTGTCTTTTTATCTATTTTCAATTTTATAAAACCTTAATGAATTTTCTATTAACAAACTGAACGATTTCAAAGCGAGCAATACAAACACTGTACAGAAAAAACACATTTTTATCCCCAGCATGCGAGACTTTGTATCGGAAATTCTTAAGATATGCTGTTTTTTAAATATTTTGTTATATTGCTGTTGATTTGAATTTTATGTGGTTTAAGTGCAAAGAACATGATATGTAATAAATATACACACGAAAACAGGTAACACAAAATGTTAAAATATGCCCTTTTGGGCATAACATGAAATCTGAAAGCTATTTTTTTTTTCTTTCTTTCTTCTTTGTTTCAAACATATTTCTAGTATTTAATCAAGAATCATTTCATTGTTACTTTATCTCTAGAATCATTTTCAGTGTCTAATATAGACACATGTGCTGTTTATAGTAAACCAAGTTCACTGTGTACTTATTTATGTGCAACTTTTCTGTAAAATATTATTTTTATTTTACTTCACTGAAGATATTTCTTTACAATTCCTTATATATTTCAAGAAAATTACCTAAGAATTATAGCAACTTCTTTTTAAAGCTTAATATAATTGCTGGAAGTGCAGTGAGAGAGATCTTAATAGAATTATTGCCAATGCAAGCTCTTAGTCACGTCTGATATTCTCAGGATATAAATATTTTAACAGGTAGTGTTTTACTTTAGTTACAAGCATATTACTAAAAAAATATTAATTTTTCAGATGCAGAAATCGGAGCATTTCAGTTTATGTGTATAAGCGATCACTTAGAATCAAAGTTTTATACAACCTATTTGCATTTTTTACCTAAAAGACATATTTTAATTTTCACATAAAAATCACTCTGATGCATATTACTATTTGATGATGTCTGATGTAACCTCTCATTGTAAACTAGTTCTGTAAACTGAACAGTTATTTAAAATTTAAAAAAAAATTAATTGTTTTCCATGGTTGAGTAATGCTCATTCTCTCTTAATAAATACTGAATTTTTAAATTACAAATCTAATATTTCTTTTAAGGTCATGCAGTTGTGTATAATGTAATAAGACAGGTGCTTATTTTTTTTCTTAAAATATGCTTGAAAAGTGATTATAGGTGCTTATTTTTTTAACTAAAATGTGGTGTGCAGTGCAAAATTTGCTTTGTGCTATAATTCCAAAACTTTTGAAAAATCTTTGTTTCTGTGACTTTCCTGCAACTAGAAGTGTATTTTGTTCTTATTCAGTATTCACATAATCTTTTTTATTGCCTCGGCTATAAGGATTGCTTTTTAAAGGTTAGGATTCTTTCGGGCTTGAGATAAAGAAGAGCTCAGTTTCATCTGTATTACGAATGTCATTTAATTGTCATCCATCCATTTCTTGGGATAAATTAGTTATCAACATCTTCACCTGGGATGTCTTTAGATTATCCACATACAACGTAAGAATTTTAAGGTGTGGTTTAAATTCATGCAGCCGTCCATTTGAAAACAAGTGTTTTTTAATTTTATAATGCTATTTCTTTCGCTTTTCCTTTCATTGAACTGGATGCATAGCATTGCGTTAAAACTTAAGCATAACATCCTTAACCTTGAGAAAATGCTCTTTGAACTTATTATTCTTTTTTAACGCTGAGTTACTATGAACTGCTTTTTCATTTCCTTTTTTCAATGTTGGTTTAAGAAAGCCTGGTTTCTTTTTAATTATTCCACTTTCATTGATCTAATTCTGTTGAAATTTCAGTTTCAGAGTGCCTTTATTTTGTCTAGAGTTTAGATTGCCTAGTTTTACAGAGAAGCACAAAGGGCAAATAGCAGTTGAATTAGAATGTGTTCATATGACTGAAGCATCATCTACTGGTAATTGTCTTTCTATGTGTTAACTGGATGCCAACCTCAGTAGAAGTGTGAGGTATTGCCTTTTGTCCACCCCCACATATCTCCACTTACAACTACGAAAAGCTTAATAAGAAAGTCGTTTAATGTATAAATGAAATATTTTACTGCTAACATGAAAAAGCATGAGTCTTTAAGCAGATATTAAGCAATGCTTGATTTGTAAAACATAAAAACAGTGCTTCACTTTGTAAAGTATTAGTGGACGTACCGAAACTAGAAATCTTATATTTGACCATATTGACTATGAAAACATTTTTCATGAGATTGGTGTTACTTCGGAAAGTTACCAACTTTGTTACCAAAGTTACCAAAATTTTGAAACCCCTAAAGATTGGTTTCATTAGTTAAAATGTGACAATGCAAGTAGAGGCATAAAAATATCCAATTATTTATATTATATAAGCTCTGAAACCAAACATAAAGAGAGGTGTGTTCCCAAATTTGTGATTTACAACTATACGAGCATATTTTTAAGCATTTTAAGAAATCTTGGGATAAGTTTACTGTGGCAGTTATTCTTTTTAAGCATCATTGGAAGTGGGGGGACTGTTTCTAAGTACCTTAAGTTGTATTTGGCATTAATGATGCAGTGTTTGTGGTGTATTATCCCATGTGAAGGAATTTAATTGTTAGTGCTTAGTTACAGAGGAATAAGTAAGTTTTAAAAAGCAATTACAAAATAACCTGACAAGATACTCATCTGAAGACTTAATTTCCCTCAACATAATCGTCATAATTGTTTTTAACTTGTCTCATCGCTTTGCCAGTGCTCCAGTAACAGTCACATAAAATTCTCTGAGTTGTTTTCTTAATCTCATCTTGAACATCATTATCATTTGCAAAGCATTTACCTCCAACATGCTTTTAGCTGACCAAACAGATACTGCTACTGTTATTTTTAAAGTGTGCAGTACATTTCTTGAATCACTTCCTCTACCCTCTGCACTGTTGAGTTTGGACAGGATGCTCACTTCAGTCTCCTGGTCTCAATCTGAACAAAACGCTAACTTCTGTTTAATCACAAACTTTTTTACAGCCTTGAGAAAAATTTCTCTACAAACACTTGTTTCAATAAACAAGAAACATTGCTTTATGAATGTACTTCATGTAAAGTCCTTTTCTGTCTCTCCCTGAGAAAGAGAGAACAGCATGCTGCTCCTCACTCATTGAGTTCCATCGGTGTTTTCAAACTGAAGTATGTATGTGCAACTTGTACTTAGTGACTAATAAAATTAATATCATGAATTCACATGGTTTTACTGCCATTAACATACGTAGAAAGTACTCATACCTATTTTCAAATATATCATGTCAATTTATGTCTTTAATACTGTTAATGTCATTTTGATAAATTAATGAAGGTTCTTTTTTAAATGTCATTTTGGTAAATTAATGAATGTAGTTTCCTGTCTTCCTTTAAATATTCCTCTTGTTCTATTTTTTTAGGTGCTTGATGTTGTTTTAGATTTAACAGATCCAGATTGGACTATATTTCATGCAGTTCAGCAGCTTATTCAAGAATCTCAATTAGGGACTCGCCAAGACAAAATACGTCGCATTTGGGAGCCAACATATATGTATGTTCATAATACTTTGTAGATGGAATAACAAATTTACTTATAAAATTTGCTTTACAGAATTAAATAATAATTTTAATCGCCTCAGTTAAAGAATTTCTCTCCCTCCCAGCTTTAGTATTATGTAGGTTTAGAAGATCTTTTATGAATTTCAGTTTCATCGTAAGCCAGAAACAAAAGTATAAAACTGAAATGTATAGACTTCTTCCTAACACCATTACCTTCTCTTAATTCTAAAAAATATTTTTAAAGAAAGTGAAATAATGTGTAATAAGATTCAAGCTGTTATAAAATTTGTGGGTTAATTTGTGCAGAAAAATTTGTAATGAATGCTTGATAAAAAAAAATCATCAACACTTTAATGATAAATTTATGTGGTGTGAATTAAAAGTATTTTTTAAAATTAAATCTTAAACTTCTCATTTAATATTCCACACCCTATTTTCTAATTATCCCTAATTTTTTATCTTTTAGTTTTCTGTTAAAGAAATGAATTTTAATAAACTTTCATTTTAATACTTCAAGTTCAAATACGAAAATGGCTTTTTTCTCTATCTTCTTTTATTTAATGCTTCCACTTCTTTAATAAAACTCCTTAGGGAGGACTACCTTTCATTTTTAATGACTTTGATTTGATCTAATCTGCAAATATTTTTGTTTGATGATCATAGATTCTACTTTTCGTCTGTTTTTATATTTTGTGCAAATGAATATTCATACTGATTAGTGATGTCTGTGTTTCTGCAAACTGTTAGATGAATGTAATTTATATTACAAATTTACTGAAAAGTGCATCTTTGCAAACTCCGTTTAAGATAAGTTCTTATAAAATCCTGTAAACTTAGAAAATTTGGATTAGAAATTAAAAAACTTTTAGAATAGTTCTGTTGATTTCACAAAATTAAGGTCTTGAGGAATTGCATCTATTGCTAGCATTCTAGTTTTTCAGCATACATATAAATATTACAGGAAATTGAAAAGTATAATACTAAATAATAATGCATTTATTCTTCTGTTGTTTTATTCCAGTATTGTACACAGTTATTTTTCCCATTCTTAAATGAGAAAATCAAAAGGTTTGGTACTGTCACATATTGCTTTTTTCAATGTGTAATTGCCCCCCCTTTTTTTTTACTGAAATTCAAATATTTCTTATTAGCTGCATTCTTAGAAATTAATTTTATACTCATTGATTATTTCTTATGTTTCAAAATAGTTTTGAATAATTTTAATTTATCATATAATATCTTCACCATGAATGATTCTACGTAGTTTTTCCTCTTTCATATGATATTATTATATATCTGTTACCGAACTTTTGTTCCTTTAGTGTTGTGGATCATATTCAAGCTCGTGTAATTTTCGTTATACATATATCATTCAATGCCATTTATGTTTTTAAATGTATACATCAATTTCTGCAAGGAAAAAGTTCATGTTGCCCAAATTTCAAAATGTTTTTCAATGGCACCATAATCATGAGAGCTTTATTGTTTCAAATCATCACAGTCTTGAAGGCATACCTCTAAATAACAATATCTAAAATTTCATTTCAATTGGTTGAGCGAATAGGCTTTAGGGGTTCATATATCAAGGTCGTTTTCACGACCGACCACCCTATACATAATTTGCTTATAAAAGCATATTATATCTTTTAAGAAATATTGGTATTTATCTAAATTAGAATATTTCAAAGTGAACCTGCTTTTGCACCAAACAAATTGTAGATCTCATACAGTTTAAGAATGCTGTATGCCAGCAGAATTGCCTTTTATCCAGGGCATTAGCAAAGTGCTTTGAGGGCTTGTGCGTCAAATGTTTCTATTACAATTCAATTTACTTATTAATTTTTTAATTATTAAAGCATAATTCTTGAATGGCCTCTCTCTCTCTCTCTCTCTTTTTTTTTTTTTTTTTTTTTTTTGGGTACACTGCTATTTTTATCAGTAATATATTGTCAACATCACCAGGTAGCACATAATACACTTAACTCGGTTTGTTTAGTGTAGGTGACATTGAATTCTCCTCAATACACTTAACTCAGTTTGTTTAGTGTAGGTGACATTGAATTCTCCTCAAAAGTAGTAGATAGAGATGTTTTGAAATTGGTTCTAACTCAAAATAATGACAGCTATCTAAATGCAAATATAAATGAGCAGCCTAATGATGGTGAAGACTGAATGTAATCATAAAAAAAAATTAAATTAAAAAATTTACAATTATGGGCAGAAAATTAGAAGTATATCATCAGGTGATATGATTGATAAACATATGGAGGTAGTGGTAAAATGCAATTATTGTTGAAATAGAAATAGCAGCAAGTTTTGTAATTAAAAATAAAAAAAAACTTATAGAATATAACATTTTAAAAAATACATTATTTACTACAAGAAATCATGGAAGTTTTAGAACAGTTTCCACTTTTTAAAATACAAGTGTTGACTCATTGACAAGGAAGACAAATATTTATGCAGTTGTTTAGTAAAAATTGGGATTTTAGCATATTTATAGTATTAATTTTCGGAAACATTTTAAGTGTTACGTTGTCATTTATTTCATATTAGAAAAGGTGAGGTCCATTTTGAGGATAAATGACATGTAGACATGTAGTCATCTTTTCAGTAGCACTGTGCAACACTAATCCACTAATCCAAAATTTCAAGTACCGTAATTTCACTATGGTAAGATGATAAGTATTTGTTGAAAGAGAAAAAAACCTAAAGGATTGAATGCCAGGAAATCACCTGATGAATTTAATATACATTTTGGTGGGACTGAGATATATATACTTTTTAGAATTATTTCAAGATGATGACAATACATATGCTGGACCAAAATAGGGAGATAACTTATCCTGAGATGCCTGTTTTAAAGTTATAGAATGCAGTAACACAAGCAAGACCTATCATTGTTCTTAATGCATATTCTTTTTATGTATATATGTGCATTATTTATGTAGTTTCGTAAATAATTTACATGGCAGTTATATAATTACTTGCATGGAATTTACTGTTTTAATTCTGAATGAAATTTTGACTCTTGTTACATTTTTGTTTCTGTGACATCTGGCTGTTTAGTCTCCATTCAGTTGTAATTAGTAACACATCTATTTTGACCAACTGCACGGTATGGTTATGTTTTAGAATAGTGTAACTTGAAGGAACAGAATAGGATTCTGTATTCCCCCCCACAGTAAATTTGATTTAAATTCATTATTTTTATAATTGCTTCAGCAGAATCTCATATTTTCCAGACATCATTATAATTGCCTCCATCTAGGATCAGCTGACTCTAAGCATCATTAAATAGTATCTGTTTTTATTCTTGAAGGGAAAACTGTATTGGAATTTCAATAATAAAAATTTTCTTGTATCAGGGTTCGTAGTGGTCCTTATAAGTACTTATAAGTCCTTATATTTGAAAATAAAATATAAAGGCCCTTATAGGTGCTTACTTTTTCTTTAAAAAAAGCCCTTATTTTTTGTTTTTTTTTAGTGCTTATTTTTTGCTTTAGTGCTTTTTTTTTTTTTTTTTTTTTTAATGAACGCGCTATTTTTTTCCCGGTACCAAAGCCGAAACTAAATAAACAACTTTTCTTCCTAATATGGAATGTCAGATGGTGAATCATACTCCCGGAAATAGCTTTTTCCTTTTCTTTCCCCTTTCTCTGCTTCATTAACATAACCTTTGGTGTGCACGAAGAGTACAGACAGGTGCCCCGTCGTTCTATTGGTCAAAGAAATGCGAAAGTACTAAATAAAGGGAAAGTAATCGAATAGTCAAAATAATTTTTGTTTTTTTTTTTGGCCAATACATTAATACAGTACGAAGATTGGGAGGTTCTTCCCTTTCTCCGCAAAATCTCGAATATTGAAACTGTTACAGTTCGCTGCAAAACAAGCAACGGACTTTTTTTTTTTTTTTTTTTTTTTTGTCACTTTCCAATGTGGATTGAATAGGACTAAAAGTTCTGTGGTCTACCAACCCAAGCGAAGAATGATTCTATTCTGGAAATTTAAACGCCGTCTGTTGAAAATTAGAACGAAAAACACCCAGTTATTTAGTTCTTTATTCTCCCAATACCGGCAGCTGTTGATTCCGATTGCGTAATATCACATAGGGAAGAATTACGGAGCACGTATTGCGCAATAACGCTTGCAATATTTTGCAGAGATAATTAATTTTGATGTTCTGTCCGAGATTTGTTTATGAACACTTAAAAGAGTTTTACTGTGCTTGCTAAGCAGAATATTTTTCAGTTCCATTGGTTTATTTTTATATGATGTGCATATCGAAATGTCAAAAGCATTTATTTAGGGAAAAAATTTAAAGAGCGGCTACAGTCTACCCCACCCCACCCCCCCTCTCGCTTCCTCTTTTTCAAGTTACGCTGAAGTGTCCGAATATTCGCCAATTTCCAAGTATGCGGGTTAGTTAAGATTTTACTATTAAAGGATGACTGCATGAAGCAAATTTTGTCTTCCTGATTTCAGAAATGTTCCTCTTTCCCTTTTTTTACTTAAATTACTTTGCTTGCAATATCTGTTAAGAGAAACTGATATACAATGAAAATTTAGAAAATGTTTAGAATTTAGATTTAAATTATTTAAAATATCAATATGAGTGGAAAAAAAAAATTGTATTTATTATTAGGTTCCAAGTGAATACAATAAATATGCCTTATTATTATTATTTTCTTTATTTTTGAACTGAAATTTCATCATTAAATCTTGTACTATAGTTTAGTTCTGCATAGTTTTTTTTTTTTTTTTTTTCCCTCTCATTGTAAACTAGTTCTGTAAATTGAACTATTATTTAAAATTAAAAAAAAAGTAATTATTTTCCATGGTTGAGGTAATGCTTATTCTTTCTTAATAAATACTGCATTTCTCATATTTTAAATTACAAGTCTAATTTTAAAGGTTATGCAGTTGTGTATAATGTAATAAGACAGGTGCTTATTTTTTTCTTAAAATGTTCTTGAAAAGTGCTTATAGGTGCTTATTTTTTTAACTAAAATGTGGCTATGAACCCTGTGTATTCTTTTATACTGATATAAAATAATTATATTTTGATTCGCTCAAGTTTTTTAAAACTTATTAACTTATTTATTTGCAGCATTATATATAAAGAAGCTAAGGAAAAAAAGAACAAGGTATGTTGATGTCTTTCTTAAGCTAAATTAATTATTAAGTGGTAAATGTTTTGGAGCTGCTCCTAAAGAACTCTATTTAAACAGCGTTTATTAGCTGAATTTGTATAAGCCTCTTTTCATAAAGTTCCATTCATTTAGATGATGTTTACCCTATCAAAGAAAGTAAGAAAGCAAAATATGTTAAATTATAACCCTAATATATATTAAGTGACAGAAAAATCGCATAACCGTTTCAGTATAAAAGATGACTGTAAAAGCTGTGTAAAATAATTGTTGTGTATTCTGACTAAATGTTTGGAAAAAAATTAGTTTATTTTTTCATAAATTTTAGTGAAAATTAGCAGATGTTACAAATCGGTCACACCGATGAAACATGCTTAAAATTATACCAAAAATAAGTAGTGTATCTTGAGAGAAACGAGGACTGTAATATCGTGGCAGTAATATTTCTCAGAGATAAGTATGTTAGATAAATCTGCTTTAGCATTAGATTAGCAAGGCAAGACACTCATGACTTGGAATGTGTATCATCATTGCGTCTATTATTATCTTTTCAAAATTAAGCTTTGTAAATTTTTAACTTTCTCTAAATATAAAGAATAATTCCTCAAAAGAATTCTGTTAGAAATTAAATACTTATTTTATTTTTCATGAAATGGTATACCGAGAAATTCCATAGCAAATGAATGCTGAAAAATTCAAGGCCTTTTATCCTTTACTTCATATTGCTCTTGTTTTCTTATCTTAGATCATGTGTACTATAATGTGTTAAATTATATTGCATCAGCTAATCCAAAGGGTTTTAAAATATGGAAATGGATTAAAGAAGTGTTTTCAAAAACATTGTTTAAGATATCTGTTTCAAAATTCTTTTTTAACTGTCAAGTCATTATCTACTGAATTTATCATTTTAAATATTATTATTTATTGAATTCTGTGCTTCAAATGTTTTAATTTAGATATAAAACTTTGAAAAGGAAATTTTATCTTTAGTAATCTGAAAGCTAGTAGGAAGATAAGTGATTTTTGCGCATACAAAACTATAGCCCATTACTAAGGTTTCTCACATGATGGTATTGTGAAGTTGCTAATTTAACTTCCAGAAAATGAATCTTGTGCTGAGAATTCATCAGAAGATATTAGTAATGTTGATTATGATGTAATATTATAATCAAACTGTGTATAAAATTTCATCATTTAACTTAAATTCATCTGAAAGTGAGAATGATTTTGATACTGTATGAGTAAAAGATTTTTCATGCTTTACCGTTTAGTAAAAATCTGATGTGAACGCCACATGACTTCCTTGTATGGCCTGTTAAATTATACACATTCTTTGCTGCATTTTATTTTAAACTTACTTTCTCAAATTTTATTAGAGATATATTTCTCATTCAGTTAATTCAGTAGTCCTTTCGTTGCAAAAAAGAAATACATAAAAACTCAAAACATCTTCATTAAAAATTGTAAAATACATTATAAAACTCCAAATGCAATTAAAAAACCTATTTTTGCAATTAAATTTATAATTTCTGCAAAAACAAGCAATTGGGCCAGCGAGCAAGAAGGCAGATTTTTCGGTGCTCAAAACGGAAAGTTTACTTTTGGTCCTGCACGACACAATGACTTTGAAGGTGCTGAAGCTGACTTAAATCACTGTTCTATTGAGTTTCAGATGTAAACAAATGGTGGTTCATTATGCTTAACTTTCCACTTAAAGTTTCAAATTCTACAACTGTTGCATGCAGATTAACTAAAGGCATAAAAACCTTAACCAGATCATATAAACTACATAATTCAATCACTTTTGAAAAAAAAAAATGCACAATTTACCAACATATAAGATTTTAAAAAAGTAAGCCTCCAAGCCAGGTAACAGAGTGGGAATATATGTATTTATTTGCAATTGGTGGAGCCAGTTGCAATAAAAAAAAAAGGGAGTGTCACAAGTACATGTTTATAGTAGTCCCACATGCAAAATTTCAATGTTCTATGGCTATTTGTTCTTGAGTTTTATGTGAGATACGTATGTACATGCAATTTACAAACCGTTTTAGCAAAAAAAAAATTCCTTTTTCTGTTCTTAAATACAGATATTATGCAAAAACATCATTCAAATGGTTTCGAGCATGGTTATAATGTACATTTTCATGGAAATATGATACTGGAAATTTTTTGCAATAACTGTACTTTCTTTACTTTGTACAAGGAAGTAAAAATAAAACAAAGACAGTCAAACGAAGTTGTCTGAAAGGAAATGGACTAAGCTATGTCAGAATAAAAAATGGTTTATTTTAGTATTGCAAAGCATGCAAGGGTTCTCTGCATAAGGGAAGTGATGCCTTCATGGGGCACTGTGTACTGGAAATTGTCTCGCATCGAAGTTAGACATAGGAAAAATCATGCAAAATACCCTGCAAGGCTGGCATTCACCTGGTATTGAACCCAGGTTGAACTATTATATTGGTATTCAGTGACTTTACCACTCAGCTGCTAAAGGAATGTCCAGAATTTTTCCGAAAAATTTTAACAAAAAACTTTATTTCACATCTTTCATGAAACACACAGAGCATGATTTCAGCATCTTATCAATGCAAGGTGATGAAAAAAATGTTTCTTTTTAGCACAGCACTTACTTTCCAGTAATTTTTCCAAGGTGAAAAGGATTAGAATTTTAAGCTTTTACAATTCTATGAAGCTTGACACTTGTAGAAGAATTGACTATGAAATACTCCATCATGGTACTGGTGAATTTCCCCTATAGTAGCTTATGAAATAATGAAGTGTTTACTTCTCTTTAATACTTTAATACTTAATAATACTTTCTCTTTAATTCTATAGACAGACATAATTCCTTGTTCAAAGTTCAATTATTCAAGTTCTGTAATTTTCATGTTGAAAATTCCCACTAAATTGCCAATAAAAATTTTTTCATTCTCCACAACCTCTTTGTCACTTTCTTCACTATTAGTCAGTATATTTTCTGCATTTAGAACAAGACTACTGATTTCACTATCCATTAGTTGACTGATGATTGGGGCATTGTCATTATAAGGAAAAATTTCTGTTAGACCAACTTTGTCTATGAATTACACAAAAAGCCGCATAGTTAGTGCACATCTCTTGGTGGCGTCTCAGAACACACGCAAACTCAGTACATAGTTGCGCAGGTGGTGAGCCATGAAAATAAAAATACTCGTTTGAATTTGGGCACTTCAGCTCCATCATTTCAACCTCTGAAAGCTAAAGTGAGTACTGATCAAAATTTAATTCTCAACGAAGTGCAATCTCGTCAATGAGTTAAAAGCTGTCTTACTCAGCACTTTTGTTTGTTTAATTAAAGATGCATTGGGTAACATTTTAAAGTTAGATGTTTGTTAGATGTCGGTGGTGATTCAAATTTTATGAGCAAAAATTTAGCAGATTTGCTTCAATTAAAGGGAGAAAAGACTAACATTTCTGTTTCAGGAATAAATAATTTGTCTTTGAATATAAAATCTAGAGTTAGAGCAACTATTTTAAATAGAGACAAGAGTTTCGATTTAAGTTTAAATTTTTTCGGTAGGTTCCTAAAATAACAGAATATACGCCCTCTAGGCCTCTTCAAATTAATGTTTCATCTTTAGATAACATCAATTTAGCAGATGACAAATTTTTTGTGCCAGGCCCAATTGAATTTCTGATAGGTGCAGAAGATTTCTATGAGCTTTTAAAACCAGATCGAATTTTCCTTCAGGATTCAAATTTAAGATTACAAAATAGTGTTTTCAGCTATGATGTAAGTGGGACTCTTCTTGCTAAAGGGGAAAGTAAATTATATTGTGGCCTTATTACAGATAATTTGGAGTTAGAAAGAGCAGTAAGAGAGTTTTGGGAAATTGAAAACGTAGAAAGAGAGTCTGAGATTTCTAAGAGTAAAGAAGCAGAAATTTGAGAACAGCATTTTCTCAAAAACTATTCTAGGACTGAAGCCACAAAATAGTCGAGATACCATTTAAGGAAGATCCAATGTGTTTAGGGAATTTAAAACAAATCGCGCTTAAGAGGTTGAACTCGTTGTGGACTCGTTTAAGTAAGGATGAAAATTACTTATTATTGTACTCTGATTTTCTACATAAATATAGTGAACTAGGTCACATGACTGAAGTGAAAGATAAAGATGAGCAAAAGCGGAAATATTATATTCCACACCTTGGTATTAATCGCCCTGAGAAAAGTTCGACACCTTTGAGAGTAGTGTTCAATGCTTCGACTGCAATGTCAAAAGGTAATTCGCTGAATTCAATTCAGTTTAATGGTGGTGTTATTCAAGAGGACTTGTTTTTAATTTTGGTACATTTCCGAAAACATATTTATGCTTTTACAGCGGATATAATAAAGATGTACCGAATGATACTGATTCATCCTATTCAACGGCAGCTACAGAGAATTTTGTGGAAAGAGTCAATCAATGGTTCAGTTAGAACGTTTGAGTTGAACACGGTCACCTATGGCATAGTAAGTGCACCTTTTTTGCCATGTGAACATTATGAGCTTGCTATAGATGAGTTCGCAAATTTTCCATTAGCAGCTGCAGTTCTACAGAGTGATTTTTACATGGATGATGTGCTAACAGGGTCCAGTTCATTGAGTTCGGCAAAAAAGCTACAGCATGAATTAATTGAGATTTTAAAAAGTGCAACTAGCACTTCTACACATTTTTTCACAAATTCCATTAACTGAAAAATTTCACTTTTTGTTTGCACAAGCAAATTTTAATATCTAAGGACCTTCAGAGTCATGGCTGTCATCATAAAATTATCAAGACTCTGCTTTACATTATTGGTGATGTATCATGAAATTGCTGACTGACATGTTGTACCATTAAATTTTGTTGTGTTTCCATCTCGCACTGATGGATTTAAGTCTGGTTTATATTATTTTAGTTATTTATTATATTTATGCCTTTCTTGCAGATATGTAAGATTTATATAATTCCTTTTGAATAAATGATTTCTCAGATATACTTAAGGCTTTATCTGGATGCTGGCAGTAGACATTTTGCAGCTTGGTGCAGTCCTTGTCTTGAGTTGTGCTCTCAAACGCCTCCTTAAATTCTAAAAAATATACCACCTCCTAAATTTTGTGTCTCAGTAGTTGTCCTAAATTCTGAAGCTTTTGCAATACTTTAATTTTGTTGCCAGGTGTTTCTCAAAATTATAAAAATTTTGCACTTGCCCCAATGCAGCTGCACCAGCTCTGTTGCTGGTCCTGGGCTTAGCTGAATAACAAATCAGTTATCCTTAATTTAAACAGCAGTAAATATAATCTTTTGCCATACGAGTATCATTTACATATTCTCTCTTCACCCCCCCCCCAAATATGGAAAGAAATTTCTGTTAGATTTCACCGTCTCAACGCACTCATCACATCACAGTACAGTTAGCTTAAATCTGTAATAATGGAGCATAATGTCAACATAAGAGGTCAAAATGCCATCTGGTGTACAGTTACTAATATTTATTTAGTTGTTTAACCTGGCTGCATGAATTACTTCTTCATTGTCATG